CCCCCCCAGCCCCTCATGTGTGACCCATGCCACATGCCAGCCCTGCTGCAGGTCCTGCCTGCCCCACGATCACACCAGGCTGCCTCTTCTCCTACCTCAAATGCCTCTTGATCCAGGCCACAAGCCCCGAGAAACCACTGCCCGGCGCACTGGTCTGACATGATGCTGCTGGAAGTGTCGCTCCTGCTGCTGTCGTAGTTGTAGTATTTTCCTGGAAGAGGCCAGGAGCACTTTAAGGATCAATAGGCTCATACCTGGCTCACATGTGCTGCCCCTACACACCTCCCTGAGCAGCAGGAGCACCACGGCTTTTCCAGATGGCTCTCTTCTCCTTCCCTGCCCACACCATTGCATCCTTTCTGTTCCCTCCCTGGTATCTCCTCCTTCCCCTGTGTTTGGAGGGGTGGCATGTCCCCTCCTTCCCCCAGCCCTGCAAGCCTCCATCACCAGAGGAGGAGCCACCCTCTTCCCAAGGGACATGTGGCCAGCTGAGCGAGTGCAGGTCCCCGTTGGCAAGCACCCACCATTCCAGAGCATCCTCTCAAATGCCTCCTTGCCCTTGGTCAGGATGTCCGTGTATTTCTGGTGGGCCTTGGCGTCCCCAAGCACCTCAGCCATCTTGCACATCATGCAGACAGCTGCCAGCCACAGCCCCCCACAGTAGGCGCTGCCAGAGCCGAAGGAGAGACATGTCAGTGATATCAGGTGCCCCACAGACTGCACAGAGCTCCCACAACAGATGGGGACCACGGTCCCAGCTCTGAGCTACCTCCCCACCCCACAACCCCCATCTCCAACTCTCATGTGCCTCTCTTGCTCACCTGGCTCCATGTACAACCCACGCGTCATATGTCTGGTCAGCAAAGCCACCGTTTTCAATGAGCCCATCGTTGTCTGTGTCAAACTTCAGCTCCGACTCCATCACGACCTGTGGAAGAGGCAGCAGATGCTCACACAGCCCCTGCATCCTGGCAGCCCCTCATGTTCTACTTCGCAACATCCAGCCTCTCAGGATGTTGCACAGCTCCCAGGGGAAGTGGGCAAGGGGCTTCCCCCACGGTCTGGTCTCCTCCCAGTACCTGGCAGACTGGCCACATGTCCCGCAAGTACTGACAGTCATGTGTCAGGTAGTAGTCACGGTAGACCTGCAGCACAAACTTCAGGTTGAGGTCCTTCCAGTCGGCCGTGTCGTGCATCAGGTAGGCATTGACACGCTGCCACGGCTCGTCACCTACGAAAGGACAGAGCAGCTGCAGCACGACTGCAAGCGACGCATGTCCCTTCTCCTACCCAGGAGCAAAGTCCCAAGGGTGCTGTGATCAAGCAGCACTAAAGCAACAGGCTGCACCCATCTCTAGCAAGAGAGCTTCCCACTACTAGTCAGCTTCCCTCCATATCTCCCTTGTACAAGCTCCATGCAGCGTGGCCTTCATCACCACCCCAAACCACCCAAGCTCTTCATTCCCAGAAAGTAAACAGTGTGTTCCAGGCTCCATACCTCTTTCCCACAGCCTGGAAGCTAACCACCCTGAGAAAGCTGCATGAGAATCCTGCACCTGCTCTGCCTCACAGGAGGCCCAGCCAGACCCCTCACCTGGATCCCCAATATCATGTGGCACCACATTCTTCAGCTTCACCTGGGCTGTCTGACCACTCATCAAGTACTGCCGGGGCTGGACATCCTCGTTCACCACTGTGACAGCTGGAGAAGACACAGAGCAAGGGACATGACAAAGGCAGTGGGCACTGCAGCAGCAAGCTCCAAGAACAGGCACAGCCACCAGCAGCACACAAAGGCTGCCCTTTGGTGCTCTGGCTGCAAGATCACAGCCCTTTGCAAAGAGCTGAGGGACACCAGACTGCTTACAGGCTCCCCGTCAGCCTAAGACATGCAACAGTCACCACCTTGTTAAGGAAGGTGGTGGGAACACCCAGCAGTGGGATGGAATCCCAGTGGACTCATCCTGCCTGCAACTCAGGCCACCACCAACCAGCCTGCAAGCCCACCCAAAGCATCAGGGTCTGCAAACAGCTCTATGCTTGTCCTTTGCAAGGGGCATGGAGAGAGATGGTAAGACCAGGGACTCCCACAGGGTGTGAAGGGCCAGCTGTACACCCCCAGTGCACCAAGAGGGCATCCCAGTGCTGGGCAGAGATGCCGAGGGGCAGCCGTGTTGGGGGTTTGCACGTGCTGCGCCCAGCAGCGGAGCTGAAGGGGGATGCTGGCTCCACAGCACAGATTTCTGTGGCAGGTGCTGTGCTCAGTCTTGTGCGTCTTCAGTAAAGATACCAGCAGGCATCCAGCCAGGGCTGCTGGGTCACTCACCAATGTCATACTGCAGGCTGATCTGCAGCTTGGGCCACAGCATGACGAGAGCAAAGGAGGCGTAGAAGTGGACATCATAGGTGTTGTACATCCGGTACTCCTGACCTGGAAGGGCCAGGGAGAGAGTGAGGGATGGGAGACCCACCACAGGGAAGAGAACAAAGAGCAGGTCCTCCTTCCCACATGGCCCAGGAGGGTGGGCTCTTCCGCCTCCCACCAGAAGTGGGTTTTATTCTCTACATGTAGCACCCCGGGGGTCTGGAGAAGATCTTGTAATATATCATACAGGGCTTGGTCCAGCAAGGGGTTTTGCTGGGAACAGCATTGCTCCTTGCTCATCACGGTGTGAAAAGCTTCCCAACGGCAGGTTAAAACCACCTAGGAACAGCAATGGGGAGGGGTTGAATTTGGACTATCCATCACGTCCCTGCAAGTTACCTTCCAAATAAGCAAACCTTCCATACTCCTGCAGGACAGGGAGGAGGTGGGAGAGGCCAGCACCAGCTGGCCCCTGCAGGTCCTCAGCACGGCAGCCTGAGGGCAGCTCCACCCAGACGGTCCCCCCATCTGTCATGAAGTAGAGCTCATTGAAGAGGGCCGACTTGTACCAGGAAGGCAGCTGCCTGCGAGCAAGAGGGAAACTCAACCACAGCAGCCAAGGTGGTGATGCTTCTGCTCTGACCAGCCCCAGGAGGCCACCAGAGGCCACGTATCTACACTACCTGTTCTCCAGAACAGGCTTCTGCCACATTTCGATCTTCCTCTCCCACTCCTCGTAGTGCAACAGGGCGTGATGTGACAGGGCAGGAGCAGCATCGCCTCCACTGCCAAAAAAACGGGTGTACCGCCTGCCAAGGAGGGGTTTGGTAAGTACACTGTGGGCTCTGGCTAGGAAGCCCATCCAGCCATGGGAGACTATAGTGAACACGAGAATAACATGACTGCTAGTGCAGGAGCACTGAGGAGCAGGGGCTGGGGAGAGGGTCCCCTCGGTGAGCTGGCATGGTCACGGTCTCAAGGAGTAGGTGGCACACGGCTCCCCCAGTGGTACTTGAGCCCAGAAACAAGGAGAAGGAGACTTCAGGGACATGAGCAAACTGCACTGAAGATAACCCACCCACCTGAGGTGCAGCTTCTCCTTGGAGCCAAAGTGAACTTGGGGCATATCCCAAGCCAGGGCCAGCTCCAGTGTCCTGTGCCCCCGGGCTGGCACCCTGCAGCTGGCACACACTGCTGCCGCTGTCACCTCCCCTTTCTCTGTCGGGCTGCTTTTACCTGCCGGGGGAAAAAAGAAAACATTTATAAGTGACCAAGGAAGCCCTTTGTTAGGGGGTGACTGATGCACCCCAAGGCGGACAAGACTATTCAGGCATGGATCAGCTCCTTTGCAGCCTGAAGGGTACATCCCCAGGTTCTAAGGGACGACATTATCACACATGAGTAAGTGCTTTTTGTGAGCAGGAAAAAATACTTGCCATGGGCGGAGGTGTTAAAAAAGTAAGTCATCAAAGGAGAGGGATAAATCAGGCAGGAAAAGCCATCAGGCACGGGTGGAAGGGACAGAGCATCCCATTACTTTGTAACTGCGCTGCACTCTGACACTGACAGAGAGACACTGTGACTTTCTAGTGACAGTCATAGTTTCCAGCCTTCTGCAAGGTAGTTGAACCGTGCCCATAGTTAAGCAAAGCCCTGAGGTGGCTGAGATCTGTACCAGGTAAACTCATTAAAGCAACAATTTTAACAGAAGCACAGATTCTGACTACGATAATGCCTGGCATGCACAAAGGAAAAAACACTTCCCAATAGCTTGGGGACATCTGAGTGCACCTATGCAGGAAACTCAGTTTCCCAGAAACATTTAAGTAAACACTTTATTTACACAATTCAAGCAAAGGCCCAGTGTCAGCATCTGTCATTTGTCAGCATGATCCTTGTTCAAAAGCTGGCAGAGACATTAGGCAAATGGTCGCCTTTCATCACAATAAGAAGTTAGCAGCAAGTGCTAGGAGATGTCACTCTGCTTCAAGGATTCTGCCAAGGGAGTGAACAGACAACTGAGGACGATGCAGAAGTATCAAGGAAATACCAGAAACTTTCAGGAAAAAATAGAGTAACAAGAGAACAGCAAGTGATGGCAGCACCAAATCCCAAGAAACACTGAACTAGAACAAACCCCCTAGAACAAATCTGACAGAGCCCTGCTCACAGACCTGGCAATGAGAACTTAGGGAAGGTGGCTGGGCATCACCCTGGCTGCTCAACAGAAATCCCAACTCATTACGTAACTCTACAGACTAACAAGATAATAGTACATCCAAGTAATACAGCTTAGAACAGCCCCAAAGTGCTGCAAACAGTCTTTGGAGAACCAGACCAAGGACAGCGTGAGGAGCAATGGGAATTTTGGATACAGCCTAAAGCCGAGAATAAGCCATAGCATCAGAGCAACAGAGCTTTTTGCGACGGCACTGAGGTGACCAGAGAAAGGGAAATCCACCCTTGCTTAAGTGCCCTGTGCCCCAGGACAAGCACGGCCACTTGTTCCCCCTGCTCCCCTCCACCCATCCCACAGAGGACGGAGCGACTGACCAGCGGGGGAGTCCAGCCTGCCGTCCTGCAGAAGGTCCTGCCACACTTCTCTACCCACTCCTGCAGGATTGAATGCCGTGAAGTGGGTGACTCCTGTGCCAGCCTGGGGAAGGGAAGGGCATCATCAGGGGCTGGTATTTTTGTGGGGCCGATGCAGGCCCATTCCCCACCCCCCAACAACACTAAGACCCCACACTCACTCCCCACACACT